CATTTTTTTCCTATCTTTATTGTCTTTCATGCGGTTCCAAACTCTTTACGTTTCATTTCCAAAAACTTTGCCAATCGCGTAATAGCTTCCCTCAAGTCGTCCTCGTGTGGCAAAAACACCATGCGAAAATGATCTGGTGCTGGCCAATTAAACCCAGTACCCTGAACCAGCATCACTTTGGTTTGCTCTAGCAACTCCAAAAAGAAAGTCTGGTCGTCTGCTATCGGATAGATGCTGGGGTCTAATTTGGGAAACATATACAGCGCTGCCTCAGGCTTGACGCAGCTCACGCCAGGTATGGCTGTGAGCATCTGCCAGGCCAAATCGCGCTGGCGGCGCAGCCTCCCACCCTCTCCGACCAATTCCTTGATGCTCTGATAGCCCCCAAGAGCAGTTTGTATGGCCCACTGACCTGGTACATTAGAGCAAAGCCGCATATTGGAGAGCATATTTAAGCCCTCAATATAGTCTTGCGCGGGTTTTTTGTCGCCGCTGATATACATCCAGCCGCTGCGGTAGCCACAGGAGCGGTGGCTCTTAGAGAGCGAGCCAAAAGTCAGCGTCAGCACATCTTCAGACAAAGTAGCGATAGGGGTGAATTTGTTGTCCTCATAGAGCACTTTGTCATACACTTCGTCAGCCATTATCACCAAGCCATGTTCGCGCGCTAGCTGCACTATTTGCTTGAGTACCGCATCCGAATAAAGCGCTCCTGTAGGGTTATTGGGGTTAATGACGACTATAGCTTTGGTTTTATGGGTAATTTTGCCCTTCATGTCGGCAATATCAGGCATCCAGCCCTTAGCCTCATCGCACAAATAATGTATCGGTGTACCCCCTGAAAGCGTTGCTGCTGCTGTCCACAAAGGGTAGTCAGGCGTAGGCAGGAGTATCTCATCCCCATCATCAAGCAAGGCGTTGGTAGCCATCACAATAAGCTCGCTGGCACCGTTGCCCAGGTAAATATCATCCAAACGCACGCCTTTTATGCCCTGCTCCTGTGTTGCATGCATGATGGCTTTGCGCGCTGCAAATATGCCTTTACTGTCTGAATATCCTGCGGAATTTGGCAGATTGCGGATCATGTCTTGTTGCACCTCTTCGGGTGCATCAAAGCCAAATACCGCCAAATTGCCAATATTGAGCTTGATAACTTTGTGTCCTTCATCCTCCATCTGCTTGGCTTTTTCCATGATGGGGCCGCGTATGTCGTAGCACACATTGGCAAGCTTGGCTGATTTGGTAATGGGCTTGGCCGCAGATGTCTTTACCGCACTGGGTTTGTCTGACGTTGGCATATTAGAATGTAAGGGTAGGATATGGCTTGGTGGATAATCGAAACTTCAAACATAATTTTACTGGTCTTTAAGGACATTGCGACCGAATGATGATTTTTTACTGCAAAAGCACAAAAATACTACAGACCTCCATATTCCTACTTTATGACACTCCTACATTATGAAATTCAGTCCTGACAAATTTGATACTATCCACATCACCGCCCAAGGACCTGGCTGGGTGCGTATCATGCGCATGAAAGATGGACAAGTGGTAGAACAAACCTTGGATCATGCCATTTTTTTAAGCTCTGATGGTCAATTACACCCTTGGCGCCCCCAGCGCTTTGAAGATG